TCCCCCGTCGGGAATGGGACGAGCGCCCTTCTGCGCATGCGCGGAAGGGCTCGCCGTTTCTCGCGATTCACGAGACTCCCTTTTGAAGCGTTATTGTCCGGGGTCGTTGGGGGGTGGGGGGGGGTGGGGGAGGTCGTGCACGCGCCTCCTGTCTCGTTTTCTTCCTCTTTATTTTATTATAATTTCTTTTTCTTTCACCCACGTTCCTTCCGGTCATCACCTTCCTTTGTTTGTACAACGAGCGTCTTGACTTCTTGACTTCTGTTATTTGGCTTTTTATCTTTTTCTTTCTCTCCTCTTGCTCGCAGGTATTTTCCTCATACTTTCTCATCCTTTTCCTCGCCTTTGAGTTGTACAGACAGCATTTCCCCGCAACCTCTGTCTTTTATATCTCACGACGTTCCTATTCCTCTTCTTAATTTCTATATCATTTTATTTTATATCCTGAGCCGACGCCACGTATTTCAGGAAATTCGAATCGCGTATTCTTTTATTTCAAAATTTTTGTCTTTTATTTCACTCCATCCGTCTCTCTCTTTCTTTTCTTTTTTCTTTTACTGTTTTATCACTCACTCTCTTGTTTCTGTTTATTTGTTTCCGTTTTCTAATCACTTCTCTTCGTTTTTCTATCTTTAAAAGTCATTTTCTTTCTTTTCGTTTTTTTTTCGTACTTCACATTACCACACGGTTCCTCTTCCATTTCACATCCTTCCTTTATCTCACCTTCTCCCTTACTCTCTCTTCCTCCATCCTTCTCTTCTTCCCTCCCTTCCTCCCCCCCCCCCCATTTGGATGAGAGGGGTCACCCCCCCCCCCCTCCCAAGACCCTTTAAAAGGCGGATGATTCGGCTCGATGCTGGATGCTGCGGGTCCCGGAGATAGCGTCTCGCGCACGCACGCAACACCTGAAGGCTTTATGTAAATTAAGGATATTACCTGTTGGGAAGTGAGCCCCCTCCCCCTCCCCCCCTCCCCCCCCTCGCCTGGCCTATTCTCAGGGCGTCCTTCTCTCCCTCGGAGGAACGATCGCTTTACGGCGGCGTCCGCTCGCCTTGATTTATGCGAGCGCCTCATCAGGCAATGGCTGTCCGCGCGTGTACGCACACACGCACACAGACACACATACCTATACATGTACGTAAACGCGTGTGTTAGTATACGTACACACACACGCATATATATATATATATATATATATATATATATATATATTATATATATATATATATATGTATGTATGTATATACATATACTTACTTATTCATTCACTTGCTGCACACACACCCATATATAAATTTGTCTCTATATATATATCTATCCACACACACAGTATCTTTCTAAATATATATACCAAAAGGTAAATCGATATATAGGCATTAAAGATGGCAACGCGCAATATCTGCCTCGGGGGCGGCGTTGATCAGCTGTTAATCCTCAGCTGGTGATCGTCAGCTGGTGATCGTCAGCTGATCCTTAGCTGGTGGTTGTCAGGTGATCCTCAGTTGGTGATCCTTAGCTGGTGGTCGATAGCTGGTGGTCGTCAGCTGGTGATCATCAGTTGGTGATCGTCAGCTGGTGATCATCAGTTGGTGATCCCCAGCTGGTGATCGTCAACTGATCCTTAGCTGGTGGTTGTCAGGTGATCCTCAATTGGTGATCCTTAGCTGGTGGTAAATAGCTGGTGGTCGTCAGCTGGTGATCCTCAGTTGGTGGTCGCCAGCTGGTGATCCTCAGCTGGTGGTCGTTAGCTGGTGATCCCCATTTGGCGATTCTCAGCTGGTGATCCTCAGCTGGTGATCGTCAGCTGATCCTTAGCTGGTGGTTGTCAGGTGATCCTCAGTTGGTGATCCTTAGCTGGTGGTAAATAGCTGGTGGTCGTCAGCTGGTGATCCTCAGTTGGTGGTCGCAGCTGGTGATTCCTCAGCTGGTGGACGTTAGCTGGTGATCCCATTTGGGCTGGTGATTCTCAGCTGGTGATGTCGTCAGCTGATCCTTAGCTGGTGGTTGTGTCAGGTGATCCTCAGATTGGTGATCCTTAGCTGGTGGTTCGATAACTGGTGGTCGTCAGCTGGTGATCCCCAGTTGGCGATTCTCAGCTGGTGGTCGTCAGCTGGTGATCCTCAGCTGGTGGTCGTCAGCTGTGGATCCTAAGCTTGGTGTCGTAGCTGGTGATCCCCAGTTGGCGATTCTTTCAGCTGGTGGTTGTCAGCTGTGATCCTCAAGCTGGTGTCGTCAGCTGGTGCATCCTCACTGGTTTGGGTCGTACAGCTGGTGATCCTTACTACAATCACTGTTATTGTATTTGTCGCCATCATCATTACCATTTCTGACATCACATTATTATCATTACTGTCATCCTTAATTTGATATTTCTCCCATGCAGTATCATCAGCATCATTATATTCATCAGTATTTTGTCATTATTATAACAATGTTTATAAGTAGGATGTTCATAATATTATTTTCATGCACCTAGAAGCATCGTATTCTTCCTTCAGGT